TTCATTCAGTATTAATTTGTTGCTAAAATATATATATGCTATATTGTATGTGTTGTACTGATTGTAACAAATTTCTCTCTAAATAAAAAAAAAAAATCTTTTGTCACTGTTTTTTTTTTATTCATTGCCCAATGTATGTACAGCAAATAAGCTTTTATTAGTTTGATTCAGAAATGCTTGGTTATTTCGGTTTAAGGAGAAATACATGAATAAAAAAAACCTTGTTCCTGTCGAGGTATCATACTTTTAAAAATTGGGATAAGTGTTCGGATTTGTTATGGGATGCTGTTTTGCGTAGTAAACAGCATTTGTAAGTGAGAACATAGATCAATGTACATTGAAAATTACGAATACATACTGCGTTTTACATTTTGTTCTAAGAAGTACACAGTCAAATAGTACGATTCAAATGTTACTTAATTGTTGTTTTTAAGTATGTTTCATATAAAATCACACACACCAAACCCCACATACAACAGATGACTAATCAGTGACGCTAGAATCAAATACGTTACATAAATATTACATATATGTAACGACAGCTCATAATAAAATAAAAATTCCAAAGTGGATTAAAGTTCAAACACAACCTATCTAGACAGTGTTATTTTCATTAACTTATAATGGGTACCATTCGGTAAAAAGTCAGTGCCTCGGGAATTGTAACAATTATTTAAAAAACGTGTTTGATCAATTTAGAAATTAAAGGAAACACTAATGCTCCAACTTCTTCGGGCAAAATTGATCTTAGATACATTTATCTATTTTTATAGATACTGTTTGGTCATATACCTATTTATTTTGCTATGAATTTTTAAAATGTTCAAATTTTTTAACATTCCTGAGGAAAGTTTATCCTGAAAAGCGCTGCGGATGCACTAAGTTTACATAGTGTTATTTTCATCTTCATTTGCTGATACAAGGTCGATACCGCTGCTGTGAACTGTCTCACAGGGTGTCATCAGGTAGCAGCCAGTGCATCCATCGGCATATACATTATTTATATAACAACAACTTCAAAATATGTTTTGATAAATGTAGAAATTGTAACAAACACTAATTTTCCAATTCTCTCAAGCAAAGTTGATCTGAAATTTAAGTTAGCTTTTCTTTCTATGTTCCTTTTGGTCATAAAGCTCCAAAATGTCCTACTTATTTTTCAAATCCTTGGCTCTCACCTTTTTAGTTTTGAGCATTCTTGATAATGGTTAATCCAGCAAAACGGATCAGATGTACGAAATAAACTAATTGGTTTTTTTTTCTCCATATACAACCAGCTAGTACTATACTGCTAGTGAACTGTTACGTGCAGAAGTAATCATTAGGTAGTATTCAGTCCATCGCCATTTAAATGATTTACCCTCTGTCTCATGCAAATAAAGCTGACCTTAGATGAACTTGACTAAATGTAGGTCCATTATGAAATAAAGCCCGAATGTTTATACGTATTCCTTCTTCACTGGCTTTGGACTGTAAAGGTTTGAGGATTCCTTATTGTGCTACATCCAGAAAAAAAACCTTTCGTACGCACACATTTTATAAATAAACTCATCATAGTTTCCAGGATTAACATTGTATACTCGCCAAACACGCGTTTCGTCTATAAAAGACTCATCAGTGACGCTCAAATAAATGTACAATATATGTAAATTGTCAGAAAATATAAAATTTATTTGTATGAGCTTTGAACAGGACGAAAAGCGAGGCTCGGCGAGCTTTTCTCCTGTTTCGTAGCGAGTACAAATACATTTTATATTTTCCGACAATGTACATATATTGTTTTTTTTTTCGAAATTTACACCCAAAACTTGAAATTTTAGTTGTTAAAATCTAAATCATTGTCTCTAATTATTCAAAGAAATCGACATTATTTAAACGCGGACCGCGAAGAGGACCCCAAAATGAACTGGTACGCAAAAAGAAATATCCACATTACCGCTTGCTCAACATGGAAGCGGGGTAACAGGAGACTTTATTTGTACCAGTTATTTGTACAATAGTTAGCTGATTGCAGGATAAAACAAGTTATAAAGGCCAAATAAATACGAAGTTGAAGAGCATTGAAGACCCAACATTTCGAAAGGTTTAGCTAAATGCAGCTGATTATACCGTATATTACCGTGTCAAATGGATTTTTTCTGCCTTTGTTGTCGATTTAAATTATCCGCTTTCAAAGACGTCGAACTTTGTTTTTGCAGATTAGAATTATACTATTAACGTACCGAACGTTGTTTTTGAAATCTCCACTATGTAATGTGTTACCTCTTTTTACCACATCATGTTAAGTTGGTAATAGGGCACATGAGAAAGAAATATAAGAAACAATTTCTCCCAATTGAATGAAAACAACATTTATGAAACACTTGGAATTGATCTTCCTGATTTAACACGTCTCAAACCTACGAAAGGAGAGGGGTTCCGTTCCTATGGAGCAAAAATCAAAAAGCAAAAAATAAAATCAATGAATCTCAGCAAAATGTATGTCTGTCTGTATGTGTCAAATAAGGTGAGAAAGTATGACCAAATGCATCATCACAAGGACTTAAAATGTAGATATTCAATTTGGAAACATTTGCAGGCTACCTAATTTAACAAAAAATGGAAAAGATTATGATGGAAAGGCCAACACAAATAATAGAAAAAGTGGGTAAAAGGAAATAATTATAAAAAGAAGTGTGAAAACATTTTATGAGAACAAAAACCGGAACAACAATAAGTATCACAATTTTACCAGACTCGGGATTCTTTAGAGCTTGATATCGTAAAAAGACAATAGAGAGCTTTATATAGTAAAAAGATAATTTAGAGCTTGATTTAGTAACAAGACACTTGTTTATTGTTGACCTCTATCATGTCTATGTATCATTATCTTTGTTTGTGTAGGTGTGTTGATGTGTCATTTAGGTAAACCTCACATCTATTTCCATTCATTTTTTTTCTCTCTCAGACTCAAGTCGGTATTGATATTGTTTAATTTGTAAAAGCTCTGTAGTAAAGAAAAAAATATTCAGCAGTTTACCTTATGTTCAAAATTAAAAACATATCTGGAACAACTGCCCAGTGTGATAAGACACCTTTGAAATATTTTGTGGATTTTGACATTCATGCTTTATTACTTTCTCACTAGTTAATATTCTATTACTTTACTGGCCGAACGAGTTTTTCCTTCCGTAATATATACCGTCACCTCAAAACCCCTCTGATATCTAAAATTGTTGATCCCCTGTCCGTGAATGTGTTCAGAAATACATACCAGCATGTCAACAAGCTGGTTACTTAGGATAGAACATATCAATAGGTGTAGTTAATGTTAGAAACACAATTTCTAATTTGTATATAGTAAGGTTTGCAACTTTCAGACGAAAAAGAAAGAAAGAAAAGATAAAAATGTACGTTTTTTTAACAAATCAACGATAAATTGAAATGACGATAAAGTTTTGAAAAATAATTATAACATTGCCCCTTAATCTGCCTCTTATTTTTCAAATTAAGGCTGATGAGTACTCAATCAGTATAAGGAAGTTGGTTCCATTCAACTTAGACGCATCCGATCTGTACTTTTTTTCATTGACTATATCATGTATAATAACATATATTTAAGGAATTAATATAGCAATACATCCGGCTTTTGGATCACTTTATACCTGTCGACTGTAAAACAATGTCAGTTATTTACATAATTCTCATACTTTGTTTTAGTGACAAAGGGAATAGTTTAGAAGGTCTTCCCAGTACATTATGTATGGACAGAATAGGGTAAATTTAAAGATACTACAATATTTTTAAGCAGCTCATTGAATTCAATATATCATTCAAGATTTGGATACAAATCAACATTATGACCGTTATAATACATACATGGTAAAGTTGGTCTAATGTATCTTCACAGTGTAAAAGGAGTTTTAACATGATTAACCAAAAAGTACAGCATAAAAACGAACACGATACTCTCCTTTTTTTTAAACTGAATTATGTTTATGCATATATTTTTATTACTATAGGAACATAGAGTATTGCTGTTCGGACTATGAAGACATAAATGGTACATGTACAGGTATGTTAACAATAAATTACCCGTTGTCTTATCTCAAATTCTTGACAATTATTGTAGCCAATCACCAAAACCTATTGCAGGCTAGAATTATACCATGTTACAATGTATTACTATGATTTTTTTTCATACTTATTAAGGGTTCTCTTGTTTTCAACAACTTATAAAAATAAAATTTCATAGCATACATGGCATATAATTGTATTTAATCGAACAACACTAATTGAAAAGACTATAACTATTATTGAGGACATCCTTTACATATAATAGGTTTCCTACTTATTTAAGTTATTTTAATAAGATTCATTGTTATCTAATGAAATAATGTAATTAATAATGAACAGTTATTGATGAGAATCATAGGGATTGATGGATATGCAAAGCTATTTTCAGGGTACATCGAACTACCTTTTGAACGTAGAGGCATATCATCAATTACACACGGCAGTACTTTCTCCTTGCAGTATCGTATTACGAGTTATGAAGTATTTCAGATATCTGTGAAGTTTCACACTCGATTCTTAGCTTCCAATTGAGAATATCTAAACATGAACGATTTCAATGACTGACCTTTATCATAGTAATCAATTTATTCCGAACCAAGTAATATACGATGGTTTTTTGCCTTATACAACTCGTTCTTTTCATTGTTGTCCTGTAAATAAATATATTGGTCAATCAGGAATAAAAGCTATTTGTTTTCAACTTAAGAGCACAAATTTAGCAATTTTATTTTTAAGAAAGAACTTATCCTGCTGAAATATTCAATGGAACTCTCAACTCACACAATTTTACTAGATCTGAGCATTCTAACTTTGAACTTACGTACAATCTTCCACATTCCATGCTTGAACGTTACAACATACCTTTCGAAATGGTTTAAAATTTCATTAAATCTGGGATAAAAAATAAAATTTCATTTAACCATATTTGTTTATGTGTTTTGCAGAGTGCAAAATTGGTTTTATATCAATTAGTGGAAAACCGTGTTTCCATTGTCCGAACAACAGATTTGGAAACAGGTGTTTGGCCCGTTGCAACTGTACTGAGATTGAAGAACGGTAAAAAGAAAAAAGAAAATTGATGAATGAATTTTTTTCTTTCATATATAAACCGATATCTTTTGTAATTTCATGATTTTTCTGTAAGACGACGTTTTGATGATGACCCAAACCATGGTTTTCTTTAAAACGTTATCATGTGACTAGTGAATGAACTTGGAGAAACTCAGTATTGTGTTTAAATCTTCATATCAAAATACCCAATTTAAACCATAGCAGTCGAATTAAATATGATTCTAGTTCAAAGGCGATAGCGCATATACAATATTTAAATATTTTACTACTGTGTTAAATTGATTTACGAATAAGTTTTTGAAAGTTCAGATCAGTCTTTGTTAAAAAAAAAGGCGAAACATACCAAGGGAACATTCAAAATGTATAAGTTGAAGAAAACAATAAAAACTATCCGATAGAGTAAATTAACAAGCACTACATAAAAAACTAAGCAATAAGCAACAAAAAAAAACGGAGGTGAAATCAGGTGGTTTGAAAGGGTAAGCAGTTTCTGATCCACATCCTGTTGATCTAAAAATAAGATGATGTGGTATAATTGCCAATGAGAAAACTCAACTATGGGTCATCGTACAGCCTTCAACAATGAACAAAACCCATACCGCATAGTCAGCTATAAAAGGTCCTGAATTCGTTTATCTCTTTAGGTAAGATAGCAATTGCAATATTTATTTGATACTAAGCTTTCATATATATAATGAATGTGAACTTGCTATCATATTATGCTCCGTGTATATTGACATTTCAATTTTTTTTATTTTCCGCAGGTGTGATCATGTGAAAGGGTGCGTTCCAAAGTTTGAAGTTAGCGGTAGGTATTTTCAGACTAACATTTACAAATGGCACGTACCAGGTTTCATACTTTGTATTCCTCAGTCCTGATTGTCTCTTTTTCGTCTTTCGTTTTTGTTTTTTGTTTTTTGTTTTTTTTGCCAGGACATTTTCAATATATCTAGACTGGTGAATTTTTATGTTTCGCCTTTTTTTTTGCAATAGAAAATTTAGTTCAATTGTCTTGGTCATCACTTATTTTTATAAAAGATCTTTAAAAGCTGTGTGATTTGTTTTTTTATTTTATCAGATATACAACTGTAATTTTGATTCATCAACATGCTATATTTATGCACTTAAACTTCGTACTTTATTTGGCTTTCTAACTTTTTTATTCGAGTGGTACTGATGAGTCTTATGTAGACGAAACGAGCCTCTGGCGTTTAGAACTATAAGCGGGTATTTTACTAAACCAGGCTGCACAATGGATATTTCAGCACATTGTCGTAATTACTGTAACTGGCGTCTATCTATGTCGTTCATATATTTTTCCTTTTCGATGTCAATGTTGTATGCATACATTTGTAAAATGAAGTTTGTAGTTACAGCTTACATTTGTATGGAGTTTTCCAATCCGCCACCAAACGTGATAATCTCGTGTAATCAGATGCATAACGTGATCAATCAACACAACGAAAGTATTTTGTGTTTATTTTGATTTCAGCATTTGTTTAAAAGTTTTTGGATTTTTTTTTATATATTCATTAATGGTATTTAATCACTCTCATTAGTAACTAATTGGTTTTTATTCATTTAATCATATTTCATCAATTTTTGAATATGCTTTGTATTTTCAAATATTTAAACAAGAGCATCACCAAATAGGCAATCAATGTGGAAATGTGCATCTGTAGCAGTAAACTTGGTACCGTTTATGTTATTATATTACTAATGTTGAATTATCTTTGAAGGAGATGTCAATTATACAACGAGATCAGAGGTGGAAACAATGACGGGTAACAACTTCGCTTACTTATTTGTTGGTTGGGCATTTTTAAGTACATCTAACATGATATGACATTTTAAACAAGTTCCAATTATCCTTTTTCTGGTACAATATATCTTTATTAAGATTAGTTATTTGCAAAAAATCACATAGGTCAAACATATATCGCGCTTTCCGGGTCCAAATTCTAACGAGGTCACCAATCAATTCAGACACCTTTCCGTCCGCACTTATTTTATTTTGTCCTTCAGGAAATGACTTGTTCTATTTTATTCAAGTTTGACAGTTTCAATTGTTAAAACTGTATTCCCGTTTTTAGCTTCGTTGTATATCGAAATGATGTAACTCCATATAGAAAACTTGAGGCACCTATTAATTAATATCGATTGAAAAGTTTGGCAAAAATGAGCAAACAGTACTAACTTAAAATCGGTTTAGTTCTGAAATGTGTAGGTTTTGATCATATATACATATGTTGTTTGTGCTGTATTTAGACCCCTCTAACAAGAAATTTGTTTTGCATGCACACGTATAAAAATTGCGGTTTTTATCCAATGCAATCATAGGTTTGAACGTTGTTTTCAATTTAGACTTGTTTATATATATATATATATATATATATATATATATATATATATATGTACATTAACAAACAAGTTCATCATTATACATGTATGATATCTTTGGTTTTTTTTTCAGTCTTTGAATTGAATGTGCTTATCTTCTGGGCAGCAATAGCGGGTATAATGGCTGCTTGGGCTTAACCTGCTGTTTTAATAAACGAAACAAGACAAATGCAAATATGATCATTGGGGAAGACGGATTTCCAAACGTTTTGGTAAATGCAGGTCATGATGAATTCCAGCTGATCGAAGACACACATGTAGCTAGTAGCTCATATTTACAAGTTATAAATGGATCGTATGGCACTATCATTGGTAGCAATGGAAATGAAGATCGCTGCAGGCATCTCAACCCGTACGTTAGCTTGGTTCCTAAAACCAGCGATACACATTACTACATGTACTATGAATAGAAGAAACAACAACACCAGGATACATTATCCTTCCTGTCTTTATTCATGTACAAATATATTAGAAATGAATAAAAGAAACTAAATAATACTACAATTGAGAATTTCTTAAGATAGTCAAATATTTTATTACTCGTCAAACAGCATAGGAAGATTTTTTTCATTTTTGTCTTTTATTTTCATTTTCAAAAGATATAAGGGAGAAAGTGCACCATCTTGATACAAAAATCAATGTTTAATCAGGTTCCTAGTAAAACATAAACTTTTCGGACAAAAAGTAACAGATCAATGGTACAATGTTTTATCCGTTTGTTGAAAATATATTTTTTGGCATAATAAGTGCATTTCAGAATATGTGCATGATTTTTTTTTTTTAAATTATTGAAGGTTATGAATGACAATTAAATGGTCAGTTAAAGTAAAACCATGTCGTAAATTTAAAAAAAAGATTCATGACTAAGTATAAAATGTTCAGATGCGCGTTCATGATTTTTTTTTTTTTAAATTATTGAAGGTTATGAATGACAATTAAATGGTCAGTTAAAGTAAAACCATGTCGTAAATTTAAAAAAAAGATGCATGACTAAGTATAAAATGTTCAGATGCGCGTTCATAGTGATGTTGTGATTTTTGAAATTTTATCTTGAATATTTTCCTGGGCATTAAAAAAATGAGTTCCCAAAAAGGTGTTATCAAAAAACCGAACTACAGAGTAAATTCAAAGACGAAGTCCATAAAAAGTGACAAAATCAAACGTTAGACTTTATTTTCCAACGAAACCAATAGACAATAACTGTCATGTTTCTAAAGTAGTAAAAAATGTAGGTTAAACATGGTTTATAGCTTTACCACCCACTAGTATGACATTTGTTTATAGTGCCATTATAGTAAGTGAGTACCCGACACAGACATAACCCGTTATTTTTTTTCAGTTGAATTGTTTTATATTTTTCATGTCTGGGTCTTTTATAGCTGGTTATATGGTATAGGTTTTTCTCATTGTTGAAGGCCGTAGGATTGCCTATAATTGCTTACATCCATTTCATTTGAACGTTGGTAAATAGTTGTATCATTGGCAATCATACCACATCTCCATATTTTTAAATGTGTAAATGTGACAATAATTGAATCCAGTAACCAAAACTGTGTAAACATACATCACAGACATACAACTCAGTGATACGTCGTTGGGTTGAGATACTAGAAACCGAATATAAAACACAAAGAAACAATCAATCTAGATGAAAAGACTGGATAAGAATCATATTCCGCTAAGAATGAAATTAACAGATTTTCAATAAGAGAATACTAAGAGTGAATAAGATTGAATGTTGTATGAAATTACGACAGATATATGATAATTTTGAGTTTACATTGGCAATTTAACCACATTTTCTTTATTTTTTTAATGAAACATATTCATACAATAATTCTAAATTGTGACCCATATACAGTATTCTATCTAAGCTATATACTCTGTAAATCGTTTCAGTTGAGCTTGTTTCTGTAGATAGATTGAAACTGAATAGAAATTATTATTTTTGCTGTACCATTCCCCTTTTTCGGGTTTTTTTCATTTTACAATTTATGGACGAGTCCATCACGAAGTAGGAAGTTGGTTTTATTCATTCAATCCTTAGGCATCCGACAGTTTTCAATATACTTCAAAATGTTTCCTGATTTCCGTTCATTTCAAGTCAGGAATATGACAGTTGTTTTTTATTCGTTTGATTTGTTTGTATTTTTGTTGTTTTACTTTTTTAAAGAGTGATAATGAACGTTGCCAGTATCGAAACAAAAAATGTCAGTTAACTTTGTTTTGCTTATAGTCTGTATTATCCACGAAGGCAAATGTTTGGAAGGTCTGAATGTATGTGAAGACTGGAGAGGGTACCTTTTTGTATTTGAAAAAAAAGATAAATTATAAATAAAGTATTCTGTGATTTCTAATTGTTTACAAATATTGTATGTCTTATCTAATTACAAGTAAACCATAAAGTAGTTATAATGTGAAATGCGCTCCTCTTTTTCTCATTTTTTGACATCTTACATTTTAAAATTAATATTAAAGGTTGTTTTAAACTTTACGACAAAAACATTATTTCAGTTTTCCTATATATATTTTTTCATATGTTTATGTAAAAACATTCTAGGACTGCCTACACATAGAACACATATATCCAATCTGAATATGATATTCCAGAGTTTGCGTGTCGTTGCATGATTTACGTTATAGAGGTTAATTGATTTAAAAAACTATGAACACAAGGTTTCTCGTAGTACAGTTGAAGTCGTCTTTTCTAAAGTTTTATGGACCCCATTATTATTTGGTGAATTTCTACGGGATATCTGTGCCACAATTGACCATATATTTTAGCTTTTTCCTGACTGTAACATTACCGAACGCAGCGTATCAACGAAATGATAATTATCATGAGCACCAAGATAGATGTCAATAGGGTAGCAAGACTGTGAATACATATTGTCTATTTCCTTTTCAGTCATTTTTTTCTTTTCGATTCTCATCGACTAATATTTTTTTGTTCTACATCGATACCTCTTTTCTAATATCAAAAACGATGAAAGGACATTATGGCTCTTTTTTTGGCAAAGGAAAATAAGTTTTCGAGAACTAGAATTTCTAATTTTGCAGTGAAAGATATATTAATAAATGACAAGAAATGTATAATGCTATGAAGTCACAATGACATCAAAATATGCGTTTAAACAAGTCCATATTTTTTCTTTGTGGAAACATCATGCTCAGCCAAGAGGCAACAGCAACATACGTTTAGAGAAGCTTAATAATTAATGAGCCAGGGCTTTGTCAAAGAACCTACCATTCCTTTTTTAAAAAATTTCATCGGAAAGTAGCAAGAGCTAATAGATAAATATGCAGGGTATACTTCACAAATATTACAAGATAGTCTTGAGTGATAGATTATAGGTGCTGCTGAAGTTTTGTATCTTAATATTTTACTATAGTTTCCCTGTTATTTGTCTTCGCGCTACTAGATTTCTGTAAGGCGTATGGCTTTTGACGTGACTTGGTATTTGTGCATCCAAACATCATATGTTTTACTGTTTGACTTTGGGCATTCCTGGTGCAGTTGGGTCTTGATGTGCGATTCGGACACAAATTATTTTACAGTGTTGTTTCTGTTTTGTTTACCCTTGTATTTATATTTACTTAATAATTCCCCTATCGAGAAAATGAATACTATTAACGACAAAAACTTTTATTGTTGACGTCATTGTCAGAATAACTATCTACACCGTTTTCGATGGCGTCTTTGTAAGTTTAATGTGCATGTTTGTTTGAATTTTCTAGTCAGTTGTGTTGTATGTTTACACAGTTTTGGCTGTTGGATCAAAATTATGGTCAAATTAACCTATTATGTCTGTTTGGGTTGCTCACCAAAGATTGCCAATAAAACGGAACTATAAACAACTGTCATACAAGTGGGAGATTTTTATAGCTATAACACCAGGTTTAACGTACCATTTATTTCGGAAAATGCCCATAACAAATCAGAAATATAGCAGTTGTTTTCACTTGTTCTGTCCATCAACAATTTTTAGATTTTGTCAGTTTTTATGGACTTTTGAATTTGCCTTGGAGTTGGTATTTCTGTTATACTTTTACACTTTCCCAATACTTTAAATATACATTAAAGTTCATATAATTAATCAAAATCAAGAAATTTTATCAACATCACAATTTTTTACAAGGTTTGTGCCACTGTAACTCGTCAAATGTGAAATGTGTTTCTATTTACTAAAATGGTTTTACATTGCTAGGACAAATTTAAGGTCACGTATGATAACTTTCAAATTTGATCGTATTTTTGGCCCTAATGAACTCCTTTATTCCTCCATATCTTTCACATCTTGAATAATGTCTCAATAAAGTACACATAACACATCCTTTTATTAAAACAAACAGGACACATAACCAACAGAACAGATTTCGTTCAATAGCCTTTTTTCTTAGCCAACACATACAAAACGCTGTATCAGCTTACTGACAACTAATTGT